CTTGCTAAAGAAAAACGCTCACAGTTCGATTAATATAACATGTACAAATTCGGTCTAAAAATGTTGGTCCGATAAAATCAAATTGACACAATTACCAGCAAGAAACAGCCGCAGACGCGGAACAAATCGATTCGTCCATAAGAATCATTAGCATCCCGACAAATTCTCCGCAATCAATGGCACGAAGCGACTCGGCACTCCCCAAATTGACATTTCGATATCGAGTATCGGTAAACAAGCGTCTGCAGTTAAATCGCAGGTTGACAGAGCGAAGCAGAGTCGTCTAGACGCAAGACGACCGAGATCGTCTAACAGCTTCCCGCGTTCGCGCGACAGAAGCATCACGGCTGTCTGTCGTTTCCGCAGAAATTCGCGCGTCTAGTCAGCCCTCGAACGGTCGAATTTCAATGGGCGCCTTAATTAACGCGATAATTTCGCCGGGTTGCGCCCATTGCGCACTGCGATGGCTCCTCGCCGCCGGAAATGCGACGGGAACACGTCGAGCACTATTTTGCGGATACATCCTGCTCCCGCGAGCAGAAGGCTCAATGGCGCGTAATGCCGAGGCGCCTCGGGTGAGCGTCAACCGGTTGACTGACACGTGTAGCCGCGAGTACGGTGACAGAGCTATTGAAGTCGCGGGAGACCCGCGATGCAGATGACTCGGAAATCAGAAACTTGCCGGGGACGTTATCCAATTGACGCTTGCCGATCTCGATGCGCCTTAAGCGCCACGTGTCGCAATTTCTTGCCGATTGCGGAACAATCGGAGGAACAGATGCGCGCTGACTAATAATATTTCATTTCACAATGACATTTCATGAAGACTAGACGACAATTCCGCGTAGCGCAATGTAAGAATATATTAAGTTATTATATTATTATATTTTTATTATTATATTATATTATTATGTTACTATATTATTGTATTATTATATTATTATATCATTATATATACTATATATATACTATATATATATATATATTATTTAATCATTATATTAGTATATTAGTATTTCATTATATTATTATATTCTTATATAATCATATATATATATATATAATATATTATATTAGTATATCATTATATCATTATATTATTATATTATCATTATTAATTAAACAATAATGCACGGCACCACCGTGCCAGGCAAAATGGCCGGTTTCGTATTTCCAATTTTCAAATCGTCGCACTCGAAAAGGCTTCTTCGTAAGAAAGAAGATGTCTAAATAAAAACGATCTCTCGACGTTTTAGATTAATACATTAGTGGGTGAAAATCATGGTGGCGTAAGTCATATTTTCCTCATTGTAAGAAACGAGGACCGCTATTGTTCACTTAACATTTTTTTTTCACTGACCCAATGCATTGTTAAGATAATTTAGAGTCAAGTTAATTTAAAGTAACTTCGAACTCTTAACAATGAATTGAGTCAGTGATAAAAATGTTGAGTTATTTGAGAATTTATTTCACTTACCTTCTCAACATTTTACCATGTACAGCGGCACACAAAAGTATTTGTACACCTTTTAAAATGCATTAACTATTTCAAAGCTGAACTAAATGACTCGAATTTTGTTTAGATGACAGAGGGACTAATCTACTAAACGATAACTGAAATGATTTTCTTTTTAATTTTGCTATTACTTGGAATGACAAAAAAATAAACATCTCTCGTTTTTTAACTTTTCTATCTGAGCCTGCAACGAAAATTTAAAAAATGTCTTTCGTAGACCTATAAGTTCGAAATATGACATCGACGTTCTTGAATTCTTTTTATCTTCCTACTGTTTTAAATTGTAATCAGCCAATTTTGTCACAAACTCATAAAATTGTAACGTTTCGATTGATAAGTATTTACATTTGAAACAACATGGAGTATAGATTTTAAATTCTTCCCTTTTCAAGTTTTCCTTAAAACTCCGCAAGAACACCGCAAAGCTATTCGATCGGATGACCCAGAAACTGTTACATAAAATTTTCGAAACGCGGTTCGCTATCTTGCGGAGCAATTGGATCTTTTTAGTACGGCCGTCAGGACAGATGCATCCGCTGGCGTTCCGTCGACGGATTTTTTTACGATCGAATTCGCGAAACCTGAAACAGAGAAGGCTAATTTCATGCGCCGATACTGCGCGCTTGCTAACTTATGACTCTCAGGCGTCCAATATCGACAAACTACTTTCCCCGTCAAAACCGTTAAAATCACGTCGTGCCGACGTGTACAGTTGATCGGGCAGACGGGAAAACGAGGTTCCGTTCACAAATTGTTTCATGTTCCCCGTCAACGGGAGAATTGTATCTCGTGACAGAATAATGCCTACGGGAACTCGATTCTGCTACTTCGTGATTAACTGGCAGGGTTATCAGGGTTCCGTCAGGAATGCATTTCATGGCTCACCTTGCGTTCGTATTTTCTCCAAGCCTGATATCCCACGAGGTACAACAATCAAAATAAATCTATGAAATCTACTCGATGATTCATTTCCTTCGGAAATGTTTCGTATAAAATAAAAATATTTTCTTGCGTCTTATTGTTAGACACACAGTGGATTTTACGCTTTAATGGCTAAAACGAATGAATGAAACACGAATTGGGGAAAAGATTGCATTCGAGACAGAAATGCATAGGTCAAATGCTGGAGAAACATTAAACAAATTTAAGGATATTGTTGATTTCAACTTATTGCAATTATTTAAAGAGGAAAAGTACAATTTACATCTACCTTATATTTCCTACAATTTAGATAGACAATTTTTATTTTGAGTGAATACATCACTGTCTAGTGATGTATTTATTCTGACTTATTAAAATTGTTTAAGAGAGAAATAAAATTGTACTTGCTCGTAATTGTACGTCTTATAATCCATGCAGACAAGTTTGATTATGAAATTAGATAAAAATGTATTGTTTCCTTTAATATTCTTAAATTCTACTAGTATATAAAATAGCAGGAACATCAGAAGAATTTAAGTATACATTCAAAGTATACACTTTGACGGCCGCGCCAAAAGTCTCAAAAATTTCATAAAATTAGGGTATTTCATTCAATTGAATTAAAATTACAAAGCAAAGTTTTATATAACATAATTACGTTTTCAATATTCTTACCACTTACGAATCTAAATAAAAGTATAAAGTTGTAGTGGATCAGCATAAAGAGGAATGATTAAAAACGAAATTTTAAATAATTAAAATAATTAAAATAACATATAGGCGACGCGGCAGTTAAAATGCTAATGGTGTAATCATGACACACTGTTTTAATAGTACAATTATGATATACATTGTTATTTATATAATGGGCTATGTTTTGTTATTATTATTTAGTTTTATTATTTATTTTCATGTGCGCGTGTCAACGGCCGTCAAAGTGTCAAAATGAAGGTCACAAATATTTTGATACTATTTTAGATAATAAAGTTAGATAATATAATAATAATTATATAATATAATAATAATAATAATATTTAGATAATAAATTTTAGATAATGTTTCCAAAAGTTGTTAAAATCGGGAAAAGTTTGGAAAAAGGCACCAAAGATTGGAGAATCAAAGTACGAAACAAATGCTTGAACGATGTTGATCGATGGCCCATGTTGTCGGCGCTTAAACAGCGAGTCCGATATATTGTTTAATCAACACGTCGCGGACGAATTACAAATATTTAATTAGAATTCGGCTTTACAACTTCGCGGCGATTGCGCAGCGCCGCCATAAAACTTGCTTTAACGCGTGTTCGTCTCGTCTATTTCGGCGCGGCGACTTTAATTAAAGCATCACGAGAAGTGGTGCAATTAATGGCGGTAATGAAAAAACTTTATTCCTTCGGGAGCAACAGATGAGAACGGGAAACAGAGAGAGAGAGACCGTGCAAGTATCGCCCCGGTGTCTTTCCGCCGCGATGAAAAAGGATTTAGCGATCGCAACTACGAATCGCTTCGTAATCATCGGCGTTTGTAGGTCGAAATTGTTTGCACGACACTTCTCTCCGTCACGGTTTCCCCGATGCGACTATCGACGTTTGACGTTACGCGGCCACGGTTTATTATCGAACGTTTAATAACGCTCGTCGCGCGTAAACAATGTCGCTGAAAGAAGCATTTCAGCTGACTCGTTGCATTCTGCGCTTGCGTTGCCGTGGGAAAATCACTGCGTCCTTCACCGTTGCCGAGAAAATTTTTCGACCGTTTCCGCGTTCCTCTGCAAATTTATAGTTAAATCGGTCGTTATCGAGTAACAAATTTTAATAAATCGAATGAAAACTTCGATCAACGCTTTATTAACCTGAAGACTATATACAAGGTGACCTGAATATGTCTCGTAATCCGGAAATGGGGGGTTCCTGGGGTTATCTGAGGTAACTTTTTCCTTAGCGAAAATGCAATCCGCGGCTTTGCTTAAGAGTTATTAGCAAAAACACGATGACCGTGGATTGAACTTTCGCTAAAGAAAAAGTTACTTCAAATGACCTCAGGAATCCCACATTTTCGGATTGCGAGACATTTTTAGGACACTTTGTATAGATTTTTAATAACCGAGATGTGTACTGAGAGAAGCTCGATCATTCTCCCTTAAATAATAATTCCCAAAGAACTCGTTGCCTTGTATCGCGATCTAAATATCATAATATAATATAATCATAATATCATAAATATCATAATAAATACAATCATAATATAATCGATCTAAATATTAGGTCGAGTAATAAACAATTTCCAATGCAGCTTGGTAGAAGCAAGCAAAGAAGATAAATAAAAATAAGCAGACATAATAAACGTCCGATAAAGAAACGGACGTTATTTATGACTTAACAACTCGATGGATGGATTGTGTACGATTGCAGTTTTTTAAAACAATTTTTCAAGAAATTCTTCGATTTTGAAGGACCCGTTGGGAAACAGCGGCTAGATAAAGTGTTAACGGTTAATTCCGTGCGACGCGTTGGTCTATCATTGGACGTTTTAATGACGAGGTATCTCCCGTTGCTTTTTTACAGAGAGGTGCGCACAGTCGTGCTCAACAAAGGCTCATCCGGGCTGGGTTTCAACATCGTCGGTGGCGAAGATGGCGAGGGAATTTTCATTTCCTTCATCCTAGCCGGAGGTCCGGCTGACCTTAGCGGCGAGCTGCGCCGCGGTGATCAAATAGTCAGTGTCAATGGCATTAATCTTCGGACAGCCACCCATGAAGAGGCCGCCGCAGCCCTCAAGGTACGTCGAAATTACGCTCTCGCGTTTCCGCGCCGCAGCGTTTCCGTCATTCGTTCCTTTGTGGCGGGCACGCTGCATAAAAACCTCGAACCCTCCGCCAGCTACTTAACGATAAGCGGATTTTTATGCGAAAGACACATTATTGCATGCTCCGGACACATTGGTTTCTCTTCGCAATCATTTGGTCAAAATTAATGCGAGAGCAATTTTAAATTTTTCAAGTGCAATATAATTTTTTAAATGTAATGCATTTGATCGATGTACTCATTTTTTATGGAAATGGATAAAATTCGCCGTCTAGTTGCGATTTTCTAAATGCATCGAGTAGTTACAGCGCGATCGTAGAGAAATCGAAGTACGGAAAATCGATCTAATTTTCTTGCGAGAAACGTTTCCGATCAATCGGTTCGATTAATTTTAATTAATTAATTTCTGAATGCATCAAATGTTTCGTGAGCTTCCGAATGCACCGAATGTTCCGCGATCTTCCGAATGCATCGAATTGCAGTGCAATCATAGAGAAATCGTTAGCACAAAATATCGGTCGAATTTACTCCCCGGGGAGTGTTTCTGACTGATCAATTCGATTAATTTCTACGTTTCCGCCCAGGGTACCGGCCAGACAGTGACGATCGTGGTACAGTACAAGCCCGAAGACTACAACAGATTCGAGGCGAAGATCCATGATCTTAAACAACAGATCTCCCAGCAGAATATGATGACAGGCACCCTCATGAGGACCTCGCAGAAGAAATCACTTTATGTCAGGTGAGCCGAGTGAATCCATCTTTCGGACGCACTTGATGAATAAAATACTATAGTACTTCGGTAAAAAAATTTGAATAAAATGATCAAGAATTATAATCATAAATAAATCCAAATTGATCAACCCTACGTTTTCGCTAATTACTTCGTAGTTGATACGACATTGCAGGTTTTGCATTCAATATTCAAATTTCGTATTCAAATTTGCAAATCGAATTATATGTTGCAACTTTTATTTATATTTTTGCAAATCGAATCTACCCTTTTGCAAATAAAATTAGCCTTTTCAGAGATTAAAATTGGCAACGTTTTGTTCAATCTTCGAAATTAATACGATTTTGTGTACGTCTTTATAAAATAATGTAAATTTCATTACAAATTTTCCTTCATGAATCAACAATAATTATTTATAGAATGTTTTACAATTTTTTGAATTTCAATATTTCTTTAATACGAATTTTATTACAAATAATTACAAATAAGTGAATTTCATTTGGAACTATGTAAATAAGAATTGCTAAAGGATTAATTTCATTTGTAATAAGGAAAATAAGGCTTGTTAAAGGGTTAATTTCATCTGCAAGATGGCGAATAAGACTTTTATTAGCATTAATTTTGAGCGGACATTCTATAAACACAAAATTAATGCAAATGAAATTAACCCTTTTGAAAATCTTACTTTCCATTTTGCAAATAAAATTAACCCTTTTGGTAGTCTTACTTCCCATTTTGCAAATAAAATTAACCCTTTTGAAAGTCTTATTTATCATTTGGCAGATGAAATTAACCCTTTAGCAATTCTTATTTACCTTATCGCAAATGAAATTCACTTATTTCTAATAAAATTCATATTGAAGAAATATCAAAATTGAAAAAATTGGAGAACATTTCATAAACAATTACCGAAGACAACGAATAACGACGAAACTGATTCCATGTTCACTCGTTGCCGCGCAGAGCGTTGTTCGACTACGATCCCAACAAGGACGACGGTCTGCCAAGCCGCGGTTTGGCGTTCCGTTATGGTGAAATCCTGCACGTGACGAACGCCAGCGACGACGAATGGTGGCAGGCCCGGAGAGTGAATCCTCAGGGGGTGGAGGAAGGCCTTGGTATAATTCCGTCGCGCAGACGATGGGAACGGAAGCAACGCGCCAGGGATCGTTCCGTCAAGTTCCAAGGTCACATGCCGGTCATCCTCGACAAGGTAAGTGTTCCTATCGACCCACTCCTCGAAGAATCAATCTCGCCTACACCGACGACGGTCTTTAGATAAACCGCTCTGCGGCATCAGACGCTGGAATTATTAATGATCGCCGAATTGGCCATTTGTTCTGCAATATACTCTGCCAGAGAAATCTTCGAAGTTTCCACGGCCGACCCAAGATCGATCTGTGTGCAAAGAAAATATTTTTATCAGATGTTTCAGCAAATTGAAGCATTGAGAACAAAGAATAGTTACCGGCAAGTTTATTTCTTCTGACGATAGGGTGTTCCTCTCGTAGATCAAGCTTTCTTGGCACAGTGAAATTGATTTTTATGGAGTGTCCTAGATTGTCTTCTTTAGAAAAAGATGACTTCATGTGCAACCTATATAATGATGGGGCATAAATATCGATGCAGTCTGGTTGCTATATTGTTCGTTATAAGCATGTCAAATGAGTGTCGTTCGAAGAATTTAAAAATATTTTTTCGACGTGCTAAAATTAATTGAAGAAGAAAATATGTTTACGTTTCGTTTCTGTTTCTGGCCACTCGCTTAGGATGTTGTTATTTTGCACGAGGATCTAATTACAGCAAATTCTCCCTAATTGACACTGAAATTGTACAGAAGAGATACGATTATTCGAGCCTTGCACCCCATTTTTATAATTGTTGACAATCCGGTAACCATAAAAATGAGCCGCGAGGCCGGAGTAATCGTATCTCGTCTTCTCAAATTGTCCATTTTTATTTCTGTTATTTCTTTTATTTCTAATTGTTCATTTTTATGAGGGAGAATTAATTAGAAATTAATTAATCAATTAGGGTGAATTTGCTGTATAGACAGCAGATTTTTCCGCAAAATGAACATATTATCTTCCAAATTAATCTAAGCAACAGTAATGCATTCCTCTCGAAAAGAATGTAACGCCAGTCTGAGATTTTAATATCTTTGCAGTCTAATTATAACACTCAGGGTTTTGCTTCTCATCGACCGATCGATGCAGATGACCGGATACCGTGAACACGCGCGACTATTTTATTTCCTCCGAATCTCGAGCGAGACCGACAGCAAAATGAATTGGTTGCAGCAATCGACGTTGGACAGGAAAAAGAAGAACTTCTCGTTCAGCCGGAAGTTCCCGTTCATGAAGAGCAAGGACGACAAATCCGAGGACGGTTCGGACCAGGAACGTGAGTGTCTCCCCCTCCCAAAAAGAAAGAAACGATCGGATAGTATCCTGCACGTTCTGTGCATGTTCAGACCCATTATCTATTGTGGTTTTTTTTTACGTGGTATTCCTTTTTTTTATTTTTACTTATCAATTGAAATTCTCGTCGTATTACTTCAGCCACTATTACGTATATCTTAGACCCGTGTGTTTGAACATTGAACGAATTAGCATTTTGTTCACACGTGTGCAATGCAACCCCCGTTCTATCATTTTCGTTTGTTATTATCTCGATTGATCTTCTCTCCGTTGTTGAACAATAATCGTGTAACTGTATTCGAGTCGTCCCTAAAAAAAAACGCAATATCTCTTTGTTCGATGTGTTCCTTTAGCGAGTTCGTAACATTTATGGTAGTTATCGGTATTTTATGGTTTGCCTTTTACCCTTGATCTTGTTTCTCGATGTTAACGTAGCGATTATTGTCGTACGAGGCACGGTAAACGGAGGATTCCGTGTCGGTGAACGAGGAAGAGAGAGAGAGAGAGAGAAAGAGAGAACGAGAGAAAAAGAGAACATAATTTCCTGTAGAATCTTGTTTCGATATTATTATTAGATATTCGCGACAGGTGCGACGATTACGCCCGACCTCCTCCGATTGAGCTTTTGTGTTTTTTTTTACATGATTGTGAAACGTGACATGTGTTTTGTTTTTGCCTGCTTGTGTAGGGTCGCCCACGACACCCGAGAACGAAAACGATCCTACACGTAAGTATTATTCCAGAGTTGATCAAACACGCAAACCGAAAGGGATAAACAATCAGAACACGATATCGTTCACACGCGGCATACACGACGATCACGCATACACACACGTACCACACGCGGACGCGCACACATCTATTCTCATCACGTCTATATAATACGCAAGGTCTCCCAAAAATGTCTCGCAAGCTGCAAATGGGAGATTCTTGGGATTATTCGGAGTAACTTTTTCCTTAGCGAAAATGCAGTCCGCGGCTTAGTTTACTAGTTATTAAAGAAAAACAGTGACCAATGAGAGGCGAGATCAACTGGCGCGAGGTGGCCGAGCCAATGAGCGGAACTGAGCTCCGCGCGCTCGCTGGCGCCGCCTCCCGCCAGCCGAGCTCGCCTCTCATTGGTCTCTGTTTTTCGTTAATAACTCGTGAACGAAGCCGCGGATTGCATTTTCGCTCAGGAGAAAGTTGCTCCGAATGACCTCAGGAATCCCCCATTTCCGGATTGCGAAACGTTTTTAGAACACCCTGTATATATACTATACATATGTGTGTGTATATCGACTAAACGAAAACAATAGGATACAGAACGATATGGAAAAATGGACAGAGTAACGATCGTAACAGCGACCCCGTATCAACGTGTTGTACACTTCTCGAGAGATCTTTGGTTTTTCTCTCTACTGTGCACTGTCTCTTTGTATATACTCTTATCCGCTTGGCATGCCGCGACCTCGCCCTTGCATCGAGAGTTCATGCTTGCGATCTTACAAACCCAGATTTATCACCGTGCGCACGATCTACACGTTCTCATTCGAATCGCTTCTCCAACTGACCAAAAACCTATCTGTGGACTTTCGTAGAATTGCGTAGATGCTTCTCTCGAATGCCTGTCGCTGTCCTGCACGCGTAGCTACACGGTGGACGAAAGTTTCGGCGCCAGTCATGGGAAATATGTATCATTTTTCTTCGACGGTTCGACGATTCGATCGCGATTCGCGGTACCGTCGCGAGGACCGTCGCATTCTGCACGTACTACTTTTGGTAAACGTCGTCGTGTTCAGAGGGTGAAATCAACGAAGTTGTGATCGCAGATCGTCTACGGTCTCGCGAACTATAATAAATTTTCCCAAGTTGATGCTCAGCTTGGAAACAAAAGTGGACAATTTGGGAAGTGGAGATACGATTATTCGAGCCTTGCGGTTCAGGATATTTTATAATAATCGTGTCTCCTTTTCCAAAATGATCTATTTTTGTGTACAATCTGAGCGTCAATTAGGGAGAATTTATTGTAATCGCTAAGGGAGAGTTTAACACGTTCGTGGAGAGAGCTCGAGAATTCATTTGTCCGGAAGATACAAAAATGGGGACGAGTCAAAATTTCTTGTTCTAAATGTACAATACATATTGATACTCTTATAGTATATAAAAAAATATATATTCAATGTTCATTATTTAATATATTCCATGTTGTAATTCTATTCATTGGAGGATACATTGCAATTTATATAAATAATTTATTTGTTTCATGGACTTTGTTAGAAATTTCTTCGATAACTTTTTCAATTATATTAAACTATAATTTAGAAAGAAAGAATTGAGAATTATACGGTTCTTTATTTCAAGATGAACTATTATATTAATAGTTACAACTTATTTATTTGTAAAAAATTGTATTCAAGGAGCAGACATTTTATTAATATTTAGACTAATCTACATTTCTATATTTCAAGATTGACTTATATTAATTATTACATAATATTTATTTCTAAAAAATTGTATTCAAGGAACAGATATTTTATTAATATTTAGACTAATCTCTACATTTCTATATTTCAAGATTGACTTTTATATTAATTGTTACAACTTATTTATTTGTAAAAAATTATATTCAAGGAGCAGACATTTAATTAATATTTAGTACTATGATTATATACGTATGCTTAAAGATTTGTGTGCTATTCGAGGATCATTTTTGCGTATCTTTTATCTCATTGACAATTGAATTCTCCCTAAATTCCTCAAATTCACTTTCGGTCTCTATCGCTAAATTACATTCTTTTTCTGTCTAACGTGTGTCCTATACGAGGTAATCGAAGGGACTCCGCGTTATTGTTTCGCTCTGCAGAGCACAATTCGGTGTTTAATAGGTTATTTTCGCGTTCGAGACAAGCTCGAGTAAAGACGTCGCGACGTCATCATCGGCGAAAAGCCGACTGTGGATGACGTTTAATAGCGAGGCCATTTCGCGGGAAGAGTGTAGGAAAGTAGCTTTTAGAGTTCGGATCGCTTCTGACACTTCGCGGAAGCATGATTATATGCCCGGGAACGACCATCTTTCGTGGATCGCGAGTCTTTACAACGATTAACGGGTTGACTGTCGAGGGAGCTTCCATTGTGGCGAACGTCTAATGGTACGACAGTGTCCTCTAACATTGAAGAATTCAGTGGTTCCCAATAGAAAAAATTTCTTCGAGAATGTATTCAGAGTATTCTTCATCTTTGATGTTCATTGGAAAGAAACAAAATTATTTTCACTTGGGATTATATTGATAGACAATGAAAAGCAGTTGTCATTTCTTATGATTGGCTACTACTTCGATCTCTTGCATTGACTGATGCAACGTCATCGTTGCAGACAAAAATATAAATAGATGATAAATTATTGTTACATCTGAAAAGATTTTTCGCACTTTGTCGCTTCCTGTGTTGCAAACATTCAACTCTTAACCAATTAGCTGTTGCAGTCTCTTTGAAAAGTGTGAATGTTTCTGTAATTATATCGTACATGTATGTCGAGTTTTTTATATTTTCTTTCAGTACAACACTTTCATAAAATATATAATTTAATAAAGAATATCAGATTACATATTCTTCTCAGAGTTGGACATTATTCGAATTGTTTCGGATAAATATTTAAGAACGAATTCCTTCCGGTCGAATATTTTATTCGAGCAATTAAATAATTCGTCGTAAATTATTCCATCTATTTATCCGAATAATTCGAAAATGTAATATGGAAAATATATATCGATAAATGATGAAAAGTATGCTTTATGTTCTATCATCTTTATTCAAATCAATTATTCTCCTGTACAAATAACTTCTTATTCGATATTAAAATATCGTTCGAATGATCTCTCATTCGAATAAAATTTTATTCGTTAGTCTTTATCTTTTATCCACCATCCGGATAAAATTTTGCCCAACTCTGATCCACCTCGACAAGTTAGCTGTTTCTGATATCTATACTCGTCGATTAAAAGGACCATTGTCGCCCATAATATTCAGTCGACTCGTTAACTGAGATGGGTGTCCCGAAATTATTTTACAAGCGGGAAATGAGGAGTTCCTGAGGTCATTTGAAGCAACTTTTTCCTTAGCGAAAATGCAATCCGCGGCTTCGTTTGTGAGTTATTAACGAAAAACAATGACCAATGAAAGACGAGATCAGCTGACGCGAGGCGGCCGAAGCCCAGTTCCGCCCATTGACTCGACCGCCTCGCGGCAACTGATCTCGCCTCTCATTGGTCACTGTTTTTCCTTAATAACTCGTAAACAAAACGGCGGATTGCATTTTCGTTGAGGAAAAAGTTACTTCGAATGGCCTCAGGAATCCCTCATTTCTCGCTTGTACAATAATTTTGGGACACCCTGTGTCCGTTCGCTCGTTCGAATAAAGGAAAATAGGAAGCGTGCAAACTCTGATAGAACGCTGAACGCAAATGGATAGATCGCTTCCGCGGGTTTTCGATCACGGGCCAGGCTCGAGAGAATCCGAGAGCAGCCTGGACGGGTAGGAGGTGTTCGTGCTTAAAGCTTCATAATTAATCCTAGCAATTATTAACGGCCGCTTATTAGTACGCAACGTATACTGAAATATTGAACTTGTTATGTTTTAGCATTCATGCTGTGCTACACCCAGGACGACACTAACACCGAAGGTAATCACGTCTCTGTCTGTCTCTGTCTCTCATTCTACATTTTCAATCCACCCCTTCTCGCAGCCACACCGCGCCAGTTCCTTATTCTCTGTCCGCCTTCCGTTTCGATCCCCATAATGCATCCCACCGCCGAAACTCTCGCCGTTTCATCTCGGTCGCATCAATTAACAAAGCACACGTTCATTACCGCGATATAACGATCGGCGCGCGAGCGAGCGCGCGCGCGCGCGCGGCACGACCCCATTGTTCGGCCACGTCCTTTTGTCGCCGGCGCGTTGTCACTTTTGTGGAACGCGGCCTTCGCCGCAGATCGTCGATTCGCCGACAGAGAAACTTTTCGAGCTGACTGCGCTTATGGATCGGGTCGAACACGATTGTTCGCCAACTGGATTCCCGAATTTCAACGTTCGTCGAATACCTAAGTGTTCCGCCGGGTTCTAGAATAGCAATGGACGGGCAACTTCGATCCTTGTTCCGCTAATTATGAAATTTATGTGTTTCCTAATTATTCCGTCTGTGGCAAGAACGTTGAAAGAATTGCTCAACGCGATGAAAGACCTTCCGTTAAATATAAATTAATTGCTCGACGAGGAAAGAAACATGCTCAGCTTTGTGCTAATATTTTCATTGTTCGTTTTAGACTTCGGATTTCTTTCACAGAAATTCAGTATTCGATATATGTATAGTTTTAACGATAATTGTTATTGAACGATAATTATTGAAAGAAGTAAAGACGTACAACTGTTCGGTAAAATCGGGAGAAACGCTTTGCAAAGAGATTGAACAGCATGATCGAATGTGGGAGCCACCCCTGTATCTTTCAATAATTCGTGATTAACTTTCAATATTCGCGACATATTTCTCAAGGTAAAAATAAAGAAATAATGGAACGCGACTAATACAAAAGCGGTCGACCACGAAGATTCATCTGACTATCATCGTCCGTCGCGTTCACTGTCCTCCCCGCTTTTATTAACGCCGGCGCTTCTACCATGTTTGCCATTCACAACGAGATCTGTCTTGGCTCGCAGGGAGTAAAGAAATTTTGTATCGTGTTGAACTGCCTTATATGGAGGAACTGACGTTAGTTTATCTGGAAAAGGACGATGATGAGAATGATGAAGAGCTTAGTAAGTGAATACCGACAGGAGAGTCATTGTGTGGCCCGGAGTGAGATACCCTTTTATAGGTCCCGACTAACACCGTCGAACCGTGATTTATCTCGATCGACATCCTCCGATCGACGCTCTTCTGTTTTTGTATATTTTTATTCTATCTTTCTTCTTCTTCTTCTTCTTCTTCTTTCTTTTGTTTTTTTTCTTTATTCATTTTTTTCTTTTTTTTTTTATTACTCTCCTCACTTCCATCACAGACCAAAGAGCACTAACAAAAACGCCGAGATACGCTTCGCGCATTTGGGACAGTCGCGACACGTGCTTTTGTCTATCTGTTGTCTGCCGTTTGATCTCTGTAAACTAATTACACCCCGCCCCCCCGCCCCCTTTTGTAGATTGGTAACGAGCTGGTACGCTGGGTAGACGTTTAGAACCCCCGTCGCTTCTTGTCGCTAGCGAAAAGCTTTGATTCTCCTGCGACGGAGATCTGGGAACAGGCTTTTCCAAGAATACCGTAACGATCGAATCTAATTGGCTCTTGTCTCGGACCCGGAGCAAGAAGCGCCATTTGCCGCGGCAACTCTTCCGGAATTATTCTACGATCATTTACAATCGAGCGCGCCGATTCTTACGAAACTGTATCGCGAACTCGAAGTCCATTTGCTGCGCACGGAAATGTGCGATAATCTTTTAACGCGTTGAGCGTCGGCATTGAACGACATTTTTTTTTATTAGTTTTGAAAATTTGTATTTATCGTAATGCATTGAACAGGTTAAATTTTACTAGGGCACTTAGAGCGCAGAATAGTTAACCAGTTTAGTCGTTGCACTTTTCTTCGAAAAGTAAGTTATTTTCATTGTACTGTATGCTCGTATGTTTGTTCATATTTCGTTTAAGATATATAATTATATTAATTAATTCATATAGTATAATTAATACAAATAATATGATTAATATAATATAACACAATATAGTATAAATTATAGAAAATGTAATTTCATGTTAAACATTCTTAATTATTTTTCTGTTTCTGACGAGTATACTCGTCGCGAAAAAATAGGCATTTTCTGTATGCTCATCAAAAACAGCTAACTGGTTAAAATATCATCCACTATGATCAATTTTAATATCGAGTTACAGTTTCGTTAAACAAATTACTTGAATCTTGTAGTAATTTTAGGGGTTGATTTTCGGCACTCGACGAGTTAATCCATTGCCTCGAATATGCGAAACCGACAATTTTGTTAATACGAATCATCGTAATTAGACTGCAATTCTTTGTACGAAATAAAAATTGAGTGCATTTGTTTGCAAGAATCGGGAAACTTCTTCCTCTGTTTGATAATTATAGTAGGTTCAAAGCAACGTATCGATACTCTTCAATACTTCTACTCTTTTTTTTTTGAAAATTTTTGTCATTTTCGTCGTAAACGCATAAAATACGCGATCTAATCGTAATAGTCGAAGCGATCGACGCTCGAAGGTCCGAATCTGAGAAACAAGGCCGCCAGATGATACTCGAACTCCCAGTGCTCGCACATCGAATTTCTCGCGAGCGATAAGGAGCGACCAGTCCAAGTAACATTGTTAAAGTCAGTATTACGTAGCAGTACCGAGTACATATATCGATTACAAAAGCCCAACCCTTCCAGCTTCAAGTACTAACATAGCCGCCTGTTACTAATGCCGAATCGACCTTGATACCCTTCGATCGCCTAAGTTCTAGAGACTCTAGGGAGCTTAGCCACCTACTTCCCTCGCTTCGATCCCCTGAGCGCTGAAGCATGGATCGTGGCTCGTCCGGAGTGAAGTTAATAAAATTCAGCCGCGGTTTCTGTGCGATACCTAATCAAACAACCGTTCTGCGTCCGATTTCGCGGACGGTTCTCATTGACAATTCTTACTATTGACCATCGCTCGCCGATGATACGAGCTTGGCCAAGCTCGGAGGAGACGCTCCGTGATACGAGTCTACTTGTGCAGCGTAGATCTTGATCCGATCCTTTGATTTATAGACGTAACAATGGATTCGTTAACAATCGTTCGATCAATTTACAAAAATACGAATTTTTAGCTATCCGTTACGTCGCCTAATTTGCATCACAAGAGATACTTTAGCCAAATGTTCAAACCTGTTTGCGATAAAAATAAAAATATTGCGAAATGTTACGAATTACGAATTCGAGCAACGATCCATCATTTTGTAACAAATCTTTAGCAAGCAATAGATAAAGACGAATTCCTGCAGGAAATTGATTTCGAGTGTACAGGTTGTCCGAAAATTATGGTATTTGCGGGAAATTAGGGGTTCCTGAGATTATTTGAAGCAACTTTTTCCTCGGCGAAAATGCAATCCGCGGCTTTGCGTACGAGTTATAAACACTGGCCAATGAGAGGCGAGGGAGGCTGACGCAAGCCAACGAACGAACGAATCACGGTTCCGCTGGGCCGCCTCGCGCCAGCTGATCTCGTCTCTCATTGGTCGCTGTATTTCTTTAATAACTCGCGAACAAAGCCGCGGATTGCGTTTTCGCCGAGGAAAAAGTTGCTCCAAATGACCTCGGGAACCCCGCATTTCCCGTATGTTCCATAATTTCGGGACACCCTGCACACTCGCCCACGTTCTTCCGCGAACGAGAAACAAAGCTGTGCCGAAGACACGTATCTGCCGGGTGTCCCGTCCGAGAGAAAGCTTCGAGTTCGCGTTTTTTAACGAGAGAAGCGTTTTTGCCCCCGTGTTTGAGAGAGTGTAAACGTTCTAACCGGGAATATACATAGCTCGCAGCAACGACGCTTCATCGTGGAAACGCCCGGAGTACTTATACTGTGAATTGCAGGCAGCGAAGAAAATGTGCTGTCGTACGAGGCTGTCCAACAGCTCACCATTCAGTACACCCGACCTGTCATTATCCTCGGTCCTCTCAAGGATCGCATCAACGACGACCTCATCTCGGAGTTCCCCGACAAATTCGGCAGCTGTGTGCCACGTGAGTGAAACCATTCGGATCTGTCATTTCGCTTAACGACGTGCCGCGGCGTCACGTGCCACGGATGGATCGCGAGATTTCCCAGGATTTTACGGGCTTTCGGAACGGTGGAACGTCTTCGCGCGTTTAAGTTCTACCTCGATAACCAGTCATTTTTATACGTTCTCTCCATCGAATTGAGCGTCGCGATGCATCGCGTAGCTCAATTGAACTTCGTCGACGCGCGGCGAGAAATACGCGCGTCCCTCAAGAAGTATCGGTACACCTGCTCGTTTAGCGTGAATTGTAATTTCTCGTTCGGCTCGGCTGACGTTTTACGTTTAGCGTTACGTTTTATGATGTCGTATTGTCGAAACTACGCGTTAAATTAGAAGCGTCTGTCGCTGGTGCAATTAGTTTATCCATTTGGTCCAAGGTTTGATTAAAAAACGCGGCGGATATATCGACGAAAGGGAAGTTTAATCTTCGTTTAGAAAATTGACGTTTTTTTTGATACCAGAAACGTTTGAATAAAGAACGTGTGACCGGTCATTTTGACCGTCGTGGCGGGTTCAGCGTTAAACTTGGGCGTAGATGCTATGAAGTATGCTATTAAATACCTAGAACCGGATCGACGAAAGGGAAGTTTAATCTTCGTTTAGAAAATTGACGTTTTTTTTGATACCAGAAACGTTTGAATAAAGAACGTGTGACCGGTCATTTTGACCGCCGTGGCAGGTTCAGCGTTAAACTTGGGCGTAGATGCTATGAAGTATGCTATTAAATACCTAGAACCGGATAGACAATTGTTGGAAATGTATTTTCAGAGTAGATTTTTGGTAAGAAGGTGAAATAAGAAAGATCGTCGAGAGTTATATCGAATATAATTTGGCAGACACAACGAGGAGTAGAAGAGATTACGAAGAGGACGGGCGAGACTACCACTTCGTGGCATCGAGAGAGCAGATGGAGAGGGACATTCAGAACCACTTGTTCATAGAGGCCGGACAGTACAATGACAATCTTTATGGGACCTCTGTGGCGTCCGTTCGGGAAGTTGCCGAAAGGGTAATGAAACATGCCATCGTGTAGAAACCATCTCGAAACGAGTGGCACAGACGAGCGTACAGTGATTTCTATTTGCAAAAATAAGTAAAATAAACGAATCAAATTATCTTTGATTGGCGAGAAAATTTAATCTGTGAACTCGTCAGTTGCCCCAGTGTTTGCAATAAGTATAATAGGTTCGATCGGTTTTGACCAGTCCATTCTTATACAACCCATACATTAACTTATCTAAGAATAGCAAATCGCCAACTCTGCGCAACCATGGCATAACTAGTTCTCTAAGCGTATCTGACATTAGCATTCTCGTCGTTCTAGGAAAAACATTGTATCCTAGACGTGAGTGGGAACGCTATCAAGAGGTTACAGGTGGCACAGCTGTACCCCATCGCCATCTTCATTAAACCGAAATCCGTAGAGTCGATTATGTGAGTAGCCATTCTCCACTTACAATTGTAATATTACATCACCTTCCAGCGTGTTATCACCTTGTTAACACCTGCGAGTCACTGTCTCACAGTTTCTGAAAGTTTAACATTCAGTGTTGCAGTAAATTCTTCCTAATTGAAGCTCAGATTGTGCAGAAAAATGGACAATTCGGGAAGAGGAGGTACGATTATTCGAATCTCGCGGCTCGTTTTTACAATTGTTGACAATCGATAACTATAAAAACGAAACGCAGAGCTGGAATAATTGTCTCTTTCCAAATTGTCCATTTTTGTTNGACGTTTTTTTTGATACCAGAAACGTTTGAATAAAGAACGTGTGACCGGTCATTTTGACCGTCGTGGCGGGTTCAGCGTTAAACTTGGGCGTAGATGCTATGAAGTATGCTATTAAATACCTAGAACCGGATCGACGAAAGGGAAGTTTAATCTTCGTTTAGAAAATTGACGTTTTTTTTGATACCAGAAACGTTTGAATAAAGAACGTGTGACCGGTCATTTTGACCGTCGTGGCGGGTTCAGCGTTAAACTTGGGCGTAGATGCTATGAAGTATGCTATTAAATACCTAGAACCGGATCGACGAAAGGGAAGTTTAATCTTCGTTTAGAAAATTGACGTTTTTTTTGATACCAGAAACGTTTGAATAAAGAACGTGTGACCGGTCATTTTGACCGCCGTGGCAGGTTCAGCGTTAAACTTGGGCGTAGATGCTATGAAGTATGCTATTAAATACCTAGAACCGGATAGACAATTGTTGGAAATGTATTTTCAGAGTAGATTTTTGGTAAGAAGGTGAAATAAGAAAGATCGTCGAGAGTTATATCGAATATAATTTGGCAGACACAACGAGGAGTAGAAGAGATTACGAAGAGGACGGGCGAGACTACCACTTCGTGGCATCGAGAGAGCAGATGGAGAGGGACATTCAGAACCACTTGTTCATAGAGGCCGGACAGTACAATGACAATCTTTATGGGACCTCTGTGGCGTCCGTTCGGGAAGTTGCCGAAAGGGTAATGAAACATGCCATCGTGTAGAAACCATCTCGAAACGAGTGGCACAGACGAGCGTACAGTGATTTCTATTTGCAAAAATAAGTAAAATAAACGAATCAAATTATCTTTGATTGGCGAGAAAATTTAATCTGTGAACTCGTCAGTTGCCCCAGTGTTTGCAATAAGTATAATAGGTTCGATCGGTTTTGACCAGTCCATTCTTATACAACCCATACATTAACTTATCTAAGAATAGCAAATCGCCAACTCTGCGCAACCATGGCATAACTAGTTCTCTAAGCGTATCTGACATTAGCATTCTCGTCGTTCTAGGAAAAACATTGTATCCTAGACGTGAGTGGGAACGCTATCAAGAGGTTACAGGTGGCACAGCTGTACCCCATCGCCATCTTCATTAAACCGAAATCCGTAGAGTCGATTATGTGAGTAGCCATTCTCCACTTACAATTGTAATATTACATCACCTTCCAGCGTGTTATCACCTTGTTAACACCTGCGAGTCACTGTCTCACAGTTTCTGAAAGTTTAACATTCAGTGTTGCAGTAAATTCTTCCTAATTGAAGCTCAGATTGTGCAGAAAAATGGACAATTCGGGAAGAGGAGGTACGATTATTCGAATCTCGCGGCTCGTTTTTACAATTGTTGACAATCGATAACTATAAAAACGAAACGCAGAGCTGGAATAATTGTCTCTTTCCAAATTGTCCATTTTTGTTTCCAAGCCGAGCTTCAATTAGGGAGAAATTACTGTAGAACGATTCTACTCGGTGTTATTATCTGAAAGGATCATATTATTTTATAATTATATTTATCTTATTTTTATTTATATTATTATTTATCTTATTTTTATTTATATTATTATTATCTTATTTTTATTTATATTATTATTTATCTTATTTATATTTATATTATTATTTGTCTTATTTTCTACTCTTCCAGGGAAATGAACAAGAGAATGACCGAGGAGCAAGCGAAAAAGACGTACGAACGAGCATTGAAGATGGAACAAGAATTCGGAGAATACTTCACGGGTAACGTGTTCGCCGTGATCTCGAGTCAATTCTTTAAGCTATGGTCCTTGACGCTAAGTATCTGGTCGTCTCGCAAGCAAATTTTTATGAACAAAAATTGGCGTTTCTTACGACTAGACTATGGATTTTTATGCGAAATAGAAATTATTTACATTAATTTGCAAGATACAAGAGCTATAGAAATATTTCTTCTTTTTCTTTAACCCAGTAACTGGCAAATTTTGTCTTTAATTTTTGACTGGAAAAGTTGTGTATATACAGAAAAAGTTGTGTAACGATATAATTATATTCAGATTATGTTTTGTTGTTACAATATTTTATATTTTTTTAAAAGTCCCAAATGGGAATTGTGGCAGGTTGCATAAATTAAATTTTTATCGTATGAAAAACAAAAGATTGAGTAAGTAACGCATGGTTACTATAATCTCGAAATTACATATCTATGTGTATAGTATTTAATTATAATATAAAAATCAAACAAAAAATATCGTGCTTCAAATATGATAATTTTGTTGTGTTGAACTTACAGATGATTTCCAAATTGTTCACTTGTTGGAAAGAAACAAAATAGAAAATACACGCCGTCTATAAACAATATTGTCTGATATATATAAAATAACATTAAATTGTCAAACGCGCCTGATGTATCCTTCGCGCCAAATGGTTTACGTAAAATTCCAAAATCCTAAAATGGGGATCGTGGCGGTTAATGGGTTAATTATTTTATTGAATTGAAACCAATACGATAGCATTTTTAAATTCTTTAAATATTTTTACTATATTTAATCTGCCCAGTTTTGCTATGAATGCAAAAAATCCACAGTCTACTTACGACGGGCCTTAAAACAGGGTAATCTGTGACAGTAATATAGAGCGACGATGGCGGAGGTAGTTGTTTGAGGACCAACTGCTCAGGCCTGACATATGATAGGAGCTAATATTTACCTTTAGCGTTTTCCACGACTAAACTACTGTTTCTATTGCAGCCGTAGTACAAGGCGACACTCCCGAGGAGATCTACGTGAAAGTAAAGGAAGTGATCTCCGAGCAATCTGGTCCGAACATTTGGGTACCGTGCAGGGACCAGCAACTGTGACGTCCTGCCCCCCACGCTCAGCCCGGTCCAAACGCTTGGACCCTACCACCGAGGCGTCAAGCTTAATTACTCTAAATAAAATAATCAAGTAACACTCTAATGCCTTCCCCGTTCCCCCCATCCTGTCCCCGTTACAAAATCCACAAGCAAACACGAATAAACACAGCAGGCAGACACAAACTCTCAGGCTCGCATGCACACGTGCGCAGGCACACATACACACACTAATAAACACACGCGCGCGCGCGCGCACACCTAGGACACACGCATAGACGTCCAACCAAGCAACACAATGTCCCAGTTAAGGCGTTAATGATCACGCAACGCTCGTCGAAAAAGCTTGATCGAGCACCGCGCACAGCCTCGAGTGTCATCGACAAGATACACGAACAAGGAAACGGAGAAACCGCAACGCAAGGAAAACAGGAAAATAAGTATAATAATAGATCGCATTGTTTCTCGACGTGTTCAATCTCCTTCGCGCTGTCGTGTAAACTTTGTAACGGCGACGCCGGTCGCAGGATAAACGAGATGAACAGAAAAAGAGATATAGGCGAGAGAAAGAAAGAGAAAGAGATAGAGGACAGACGCCGCGAAGGTGACGAGAGATGGTATTGATCGGATGTTTCGATTGACCGATAGAGAGAAAGAGTGTATGAGAGAAAGAAGAGAGAGAGAGAGAGAGAGAGAAAGATATCGTTTCCGAAAGAGTATTTAAGGTGTTAATTAATCCCCCCAGGTTGCGGGGGGTTCGTGTTATAGTGTTAAATACCAGAAGTGTTTCGTTGTACCACGATGTTTTTCATGTATCTAACGGGTTTGTTGAGGCGAGAACACGGAGACCACCGTTGCGTACACCAGTCTCCTTATTGATTTTAATTACGGGACTAAAGCCGCGCGGCGAATACACGCCGGTATTCGGGCCCGGCGCCCTCTGAAACCTTCCTCCCCGGTCCTCTCCCGCGACGAACTTTATCGCTCGTGCTTCGTAATTTATACCGCACGCCCACGCCCCCGTTCCCAACCCCACCACACCCCCCGGAAATTCCTCTTTCGCGTCGCATAACTCGAACCGGAAGAAGCGGAAGAGAGCCCGGTCGTAGAAGACCGTCGTGTATTCGTCCCGATAGCGATTTACAAACGCGCGACCGACCACTCGACTCGACTCGGAATGCGACGTGTTCGAGAGATTGTCCCGTGTTTTACGATATGCGACTCGCGCCTCGCCGCGCCGCGGTCACTGCACGATCAGCCGGCGACCTAGTCGCGTTGTGTACAGTGATCGCTTGGATGATACGCGAAAAAACAAGTCGAGCGGATTTAATGAAGGAGATAAACGGAGAAAGAGAAAGGGAGAGAGAGAGAAGTTGTCGCGGGATTCTCGTCGCGATCGTTCGCAAGATGCGCACAGCACCGCTAGACGCTTTCGAACAGACGTTTCCCTGAACCCCACCTAACCGCGCGCAAAATCGCGGCGACGAATTCGCGAGGTGATTACGGGACAGACCGAGGACGCGAGAATAGTGGAGAAAACACATTTCGTACGGACGATATCCGAATGGGGGAGACACGAATTAAAATAAAAACTTGGCTTCACCGATCACACACTATTATAGCTTGTCCGGTTCGTTCTGACGCGAAGTAGCGCGAGCGCGCGGTATTTTTTAATGTACTTAATCGTAATAAGTGGCGCGAGAAGGATCGCCGTGGGCCGAGGATGATGACTCGTTTAGTATTGTCGCTTGTTGCCAAGCGAAGGGAATTTAACCATTGTAGAATGCACTAAATAAAATGGAAACGTGAAACGAACCGACTTTACGGAGAACCACTGTCACACGTCGAGCAGCACTCGTCGCGTTTTCGTCGTGTATAAACCGTGTGTACACGTGCGATATGTGTCGCGTACGCGTTATATGTGTACTCGTTTTGCGCACACACACACGCATCTTCTGCAACCAAGAAGAATAACCGAAACGGAGAAGGGAGAAACTGAGAGAAACCCGGTCGCATATTAAGAACCTCACGATTCATCAAACCTCACAGGACAAATCTCTAGATGCTAGAATAGCGATATATAATGTTTTGTACAGCTAGATTACTAAGCCAGTACTGGGTTATGTGCAACATTATATATATATATATAAAAATATACATGTATACATATGTATATGTATGTATATGTACCACGCTATCGCATATATACATATGTATACACAGGAAGAAATATATATATAGAGAGAGAGAAAGAAAGAGCGAAAGAGAGAGCGAGAGAGAAAGATTAAGAAAGAAAGAGAAGAGCGGTAAGGGGAGAAAGAATGAACTCTATTGTAATTTAAATACCACTACTAAATTATTATTACGATAGTAGGTATGTATTATTGTAAATACCTGTACCCGGGTAATCGAGATGGAAAATAATGGTGGCGGTTATCGTGAATCGAAAGCGGCCGGATGCGAATTGTCACGAGAGCATGATGGAAGAGAACGGGTGGAAGCGTGCGCACCGTGGATTCTATATTTTTCGAATTCGAACGTGGCTGTTCACCTTCGACCGTCGTTTTCTACGATTGGCCCCCGGCCAATCCAAAGAAAGCCGGATCGACGCGCCGATGATCGAAAAATCAGGAAAAACGAAGAGAACGTTGACGAAGGGTGGAGAAGGGTCGTGGGCGGATGGTCCTTTCGCGTGTCGGCGAAAAGAGAAGCGAAGCGTGTCGACCGATGGAACCGATCGGGAACACGCGAGGGATGATTCTGTAATGCTGAATCAAGCCGAGAAGATCCTCCGCGAAGAACCTACGGCCCGCGATCGTAAGCAAAGAGCAACAATGTCGTAGCATGGAACAATCAATTCGTCGTTCATTGTGAACAGTACTTACGAAGACGAAGGGAGAAGAATCTGCGATTGTTTCGCAATGGTATTTAGGAGCGAGGGCGGGGAAGGAGAACGTATCAAGGATCGGGAGTGAGAGGTTGCGAGATTAGGGATGACGATGGTTTCATTCTAGCGGGGATGTAATATCGTAATGACCGCACGCGTGTACCGTTTTCGTTTACCATTGTTCCGCGGAGATGTCACCGATTCGATCCAAGCCTGCGATTGCTTTCCCCTTTTGATTGAACGAGCGGAAGACGAGACTTTTGTGTTTCCTTTCGTTCCGTAGGACGTGTCGCGCGGCAACCAGCGATTAATCGGGTATAATTAGTATGGGTACGCTTTCTACGAGCTATTTTTCCTACGACAGAATCCTTGTGTTTAGAGTCGTTAACGCAGCAGCCGTCGCACGTATTATATACGAAGAGGGAACGACCGCCGTATTATAGTTTGACAGGAGCCGAATGAGAGAGGCCACCGTGAACTAACGCGAATATCGGCAACGACAGCGGACGTTTGGCTGATAAAGCAAAGAGCCGCGACAAAGAGTCGTTGGCAAAACCTTCGCTGACAAATGTCCGCTGCCACCGAGGATTCGCGTTCGCCGGCGGATGCCTGAAAAGTGGCGAGACGCGTCGCCATAATTCGCACAGGTCGTGCCTGAAGAGAATGCGAGAGTGAGAGATTGAGAGTGAGAACGAGAGAGAGAGAGAGAGAGAGAGAGAGAGAGAGAGAGAGAGAGTGCAGTAGGCTTCGTCGAGTTAAAAAATACGAAAAAAATGTTTAAGCAAGAAAAACTGAAAAAAATGACGGTAACGACGAAGGGAGTGACGTCTGTCTCGATGTAAAGGAACGTATAAAGAGAATAATTACTACAGACACTTATTATACACCTCTATAGTCTATTTAATAATATTACTTATTGAATTGTCAATCTCATGTTCACCTTGTTTCATCGTTTTTAAATAGTTAATAAACGTTTTACCAATTTTAATTGTTCGCTTTCAATTCATCGCCCAATATGTATAATAAGATAAAGTAAAATAGAAATAGCATTTGGATGATTCTGCGACGTTTTGTTAGCTGTATGGAAAAAAGTTTGCATACAATCAAACAATTCTATGCTTTCCAACAATAAATGAATCGAATTAAGATCTAATTCAGTATCTAGCAACAACTGTGAAGTAAGAAACCCCTAGAAACCGTCAACGAAATCGAAATGTGAACTTATGTATTCCTGATGAAATAGTCTTATATTGCCAAATGCTTCACTTTAACTTTTTGGGGTTGATTTGATAAAAAGAGTTTAATTACGTATGAAAAGTGAAGTGACTCTTATCTCATGAAGAGCTACAAATAACAATGTAGAATCAAAATGTATTATACTAATATAATATATTAACAATATTATTATTATATAATATATTAATATATTAATATTAATATATTATATATATTTATATATTGTTATTATATTATATTATTTTTATTATATATATTACATTATATTATTATTATTATTAACTGAAACCTTTAGAAACGTTTCGTAATCCAATAAGAATATCACAATTATCTCACATTATTATTTCGAATAATTCTAAAATAAAATACCGAATTACTTAAAATAATATTTTAAAATTGAGAAGAATAAAATTACTTTCACTGCCCTCCAATATCTCTCCGATCGTATAGCAATTCAACTTCATAAATCGCGAAGTTCTTTGAAAGTTTAAAAATAGCGCCACTTGTATCAGGTGGCTCTCTTCTGTGGCGAAACTTCGAAGCTCGGTTTGGGGGTCCGTACAGCGCCAATTAGTGTAGCGGCAAAACATTCAAACTGTTAACCAAAATCGACTGTCGGTAATCTGGCTAGTTACTTGAGCGTTTTGCCACATACTAATTGGCGCTGTACAGACCTCGAATCGAGCTTCATTTTTTCTCTGCAAGAGGTTGCCACTGTTTGGCTTGCAGTTTCTGCGTTTTACCACTTATTAATTGGTGCTGTACAGACCCTGAACAGAGGATACATAGAATCTCTAACGCATATGTGATAAATAAAAGTTTATATTTTCTTTTCGAGATAAAGTTTATTTTACCATCCGTAATATCTTTGGTTGAATGCTTTGACATTTCTCTACGCGAATATGCAATACAGATCACCATCGTCCACATATACATAATACAGGGTCGCTAAAAAGTATTAATTATCTCTAAAAGGTATCAATTAAAAATCGAGAGTATAACGAAATTATTCAGTAAGATCTACACTGCATCGACATCATACAAAAAACAAATGACAACATTGCGACATATAATTCATTACTTTTCGAAATTTGATTACAATTACTAATAATTACGTATATAATTACTTTGATTGGTTACAATTACGTATATAATTACTTTGGTTATAATTACTTATATTTTGTCATCTGTCTTTTTCGCACGATATCGATGCAGCAGTTTTTCGTGAACAGTTCTAATCACTTGGTTTATTGTTTTATATTCCAATTTTATCATAATTAATGCTTTTCGGCGACAATCTCCTCTATTACTTCACTTCAGTTTATGGACTAGTAAAGGAAAGTGCGACCGCGAGGGATGCCCCTATGTTACAGGCAAATGGTCACCCTGGCCACAAGACGTTTCTTCTTCTACTTAACTAAATCGCTGTATTACAAATTCGTATCGCCTTGGTTGTACCAATGTCACAGTTTTAAAGCTACCTTTAAATATACATACATGCGTGAGATAATTCAACTATAGCAATACCTCAGGTTTTGCATTACTTTGTCTATCTCGCTTAACGTTTACAAAAAGTCCCCATCGTTTCAATGCGCATCCAAACCGCAGTGAATCTTGTTTGATTTTATGTTAGCATGGAATCGTCAAGCAATCAGAGCAAAGCAATTTCGGCTGGAAATTCTTGCAGAAACTTAGGTATCGTTGTATCTGAATTTTGCCGCTTACGGTATTTCAAAGATCCTCCGCTAGAGGACGACACAGCTCACGCAACAATGGTAAATGGCAAGCAATGGCAAGCAATGATAAGTCCCTACAAATTGGTACAGACTGCTTGTGCAAAAATTGGTACACAGCATGGAAACCCCCTGCATGTGAACATATTACATACAATCATACAACATGTGAGATAAGATAACTTTTCTAATACTATTTATATTTGTGTATGTACGTATATATTGTAAATCTTATCACTTGATGTCTTGTTGGCGGGCATGGCTTGTCGACATTTTTTTCATTCAGCGGTAACTATAAGTGGGATGGCCAAACTGCTCTTTAGTTGCAAATACGAATCAGTTCACAGGAAAACCCCTTTCTTTGTACATCATCGTATGCGTACTAAATTCTTTGTCCGTAAGTATTGAAATATTTTCTTGTTCTAAAAGCAGTACTGTATTCGAAATTAATTTTATATTATATTTTATAAGTTTTTATAAATATAAAACAGTGCTTAATATAAAATAATATGCTGTGTATAAATATATATATTCTAAAGTCAATTGTAATAATATAGATGCATTAAGATCTCAAATATGACAAACAGTACCACAAAGGGTAATAAAAGAACAGTGGTTCAAATAAGCACGTAAGTAACGTAAAATAGCAAAAAAAATATTACCACTTGTATATAATTACGCAAGTTATTTTGGATAAACAATTGGTATGGCACTTACTTTAATCCACAATAATGTTACATTTCATTTTAGGCATTGCACTAGCTATGGGGTATTAAAACTATTACCTTTAAGAGATTTTAAACCACCTCGTGAATTAAAAGTGGCCTTGAAAAATTATCAATCAGAATGTGGTGGAAATGATAAGTTATCCAAAGACTATGTAAAACTTATTAATAGCTTTTCAGATATGAAGAAAATAGAACCTGAAAATTACTTGGTATTATTTAAGATCTTTTTATATTTGGAAGCATCTGCATACAAGTTACATATATCATACCATAATTTAAAGAAATATGTGCTCGTACGCGAGCTCGGACCAAATTCTGATTTTGTTATCAATGTAACCACCCTAGATGAAGATCATCCATTCATTACTATTGGTGATTTTGTTAAAATTGTACATCCACAGCGTAAATATTATGCAAGAATTACAAATATAAAAGAAAAGAATGTACTTATACATATACGCAATAAGTGAGTATAAAATACCCATTAGAGATTGTTTTTAAAAAAAAATATAATAATTATTTTAAAATATTATATAGGAAGGTACAAGAAATACTTTTGAATCAGGATGTTGACATAAAGTTTTGCCCATCCAGCTGGTCAATTAAGTGTTGTCATTATGTTTTGCATGTTTTATGTAAAAATAATTTAATTAATTCACTGTATCCTAAAAGAGATACAGACTATGGTACTCCATTAAAAGTGTAAGTTCTATATAATATAAATTTTTCTCTATATTCATATTTTTATTTACATTTTTCTAATTACACTGTAATTTTATGTATTTAAGAACACCACATAGTGACTTTGAATGGGTGAATAAAAATATAAAAAGCAACCCAGAACAGAAAGAAGCTGTTATTAATATAGTGCATAAAACAGCACATCCTGCGCCATACATATTATTTGGTCCACCTGGTACTGGGAAAACAATGACATTAGTTGAAACTATTTGCCAGGTACAACATGGGAAATTATTATAATACATTACATTATGGCATAGAAATTTATTTTCATTACAGATAAGAAAAAGACATGTATCCAAGAATATTTTGGTGTGTGCACCTTCTAACACAGCAGCAGATGAAATTGCAAAACGATTATTAGAATTTATTCCATGTAAAGACGTATTTCGAATGTATGCACCATCCAGAAATTGGTAAGACACCTGTTATCCTAAGCAATTATTTTCTTACTACCTTTTTTCTTTATATGTAGGGAGGACATAGACAAAAACATTAATCCTTCTACAAATTTTGTTAATGAAGCATGTGTTTTCTTGCCAAAAGATATTTTTATTTTAAAAAAGATAGTTATTGCAACATTAATAACATGTACAAGGTATATTTTAAGTTTATTTTTATTAGTATCATTACTCCAATAAGAATAATGTAACAGTATCTATGATTCGTTTTCAGATTAGTATCACTTAATTTAAAAAGTAATCACTTCTCGTATGTATTTATTGATGAAGCAAGTCAGAGTATAGAATTAGAGTCTCTGATTCCTATTACTTTAATAAGTTCACGAAAAGCGAATAAGGAAGGTACATTGCATGGCCAAATCATTCTTGCTGGTGATCCTTATCAGTTAGGACCTGTTGTTTGGTGCAAAAAAATTGAACACTTATTAAGTGAGTATCGTGTTTATTATTAATACGTGATTGCATATATTTTATTAACACAATCGATGTGTTAAAAAGTGTGATGAAATAAATATTACCACTAATTTGCAATTTGATTACTATATTAGGTAAATCAATGTTAGAAAGACTAATGGAAAGAGAACTGTATAAAAAAAATGCCGAAGGCCAGTACGATCCTCGTTATATAACAAAGTTAATACGCAATTTTCGTAGCAAAGAACCTATTTTACACGTATCTAATGCTTCATTTTACGAGAATGATTTAATATGTTGCATGAAATCAAATGAGATATTGTCAATTCCGAATTTTTCATTATCAAATCGTACTTTCCCCATTTTATTTATTGAAATCTATGGTACAGAAAAAAGAACTGAAAATGGAAGGTAAATGGAATGTATTAAGTTTTTATTTTCATTTAGTATAATTATTTATAACAAACAATGTCCTTAGTGTTTACAATGAAGAAGAAATTATGATGGTATCTAATTTTGTATCAAAATTTATGACTGCCAAGATTGGTGCATATACAATTAAAGAGAATGATATTGGCATCATAACACCCTTCAAGCAACAAAAAATTATGATTCAAAGGAAACTAAATAAGAAAAATCTACGAAACATAACTGTTGGAACGATAGAATCGTTTCAAGGGCAAGAAAAAGAAATTATAATTTTAAGCACTGCACGTTCCCAAGTGTTTCAACATGATGGTAAAAAACATATTGGATTTTTATCAAACCCAAAGGTAAAAATTGTGTAA